AATAAATGGAGAACCTGGTGTTCTGAACTTTGTGAACTTGAAGCAGTATCTATTGAAAGAAAGTTTTTTAAGAATGTAGAAATAAATTATGCTTCTCTTCATGTGTTTTGTGACGCCAGTCCCAAGGCATATGGGGTTGTTACATTCCTAAAGTACATGAATTGCAATGGCCAAATTAAAGTGAGCTTTATAATGTCAAAAAGTAAGGTTGCTCCTTTAAAAGAACTTTGACTCTTGCAAGATTAGAGTTAATGGCAACAATCCTCGTTGCATGTTTAGGAAATTATTTACAAAATCTTTTTCCTGATTTCATGAAACAGATTATCTTATGGAGTGACTCTCAAATCGTCCTTCATTGGTTGAAAGAATCATCTAAGCAATGGAAACCATTTGTCGCCAACAGAGTGGCTCAAGTGCAGTTGCTGACTCTACCAGAGTTTTGGAACCATTGCAGTGGCTCTGACAATCCTGCGGACCTTACTACTATAGGAGAATTCGCTAGAAGGATCCTGACAAGTTCTCTGTGGTGGTCAGGCCCTGCTTGGTTGTCTAAACTGATTCACTTGTGGCCTATATTCAAGAATCGGTACATCATCTTGATGACATCTATGACGAAGGCATCATAGTGAAAGAGCGACGGACTGCGCCTGTTAATTCCATGGTAACCAGTTCAGGTGGTGGAAACTTACCTCTGCCATTACTTGACGTTAATGACTTCAGCGAACTAAAAAGACTACTGCGTGTTACTATGTGGATTAAAAGGTTTATGCACAATTCTAAACCTAATTCTACAAAATTTCATGGACCTATATGTGCTTCAGAACTCGAGCAAGCTTTGCATTTTTGGATCAAAGCTACTCAATTCAAACATTACGGTACAGAGGTTTTCCAACTTCTTTCTAAAGGAACTATCAATAAGAGTTCACGCATATTTAATTTGAATCCTGAACTTAATGACAATAACTTATTTTGTTTAAAGGGACATTTGCAGTTCTCAAGTAGCGATATGAGAGCCAAACATCCATGGCTTCTTCCATCGAATGATAAATTTGTTGAGATACTCATCTGTGATTCTCACACTAAGATGCGCCATTTAGGTATTGATGCAACTTTAACACGTATAAGAGAACAATTCTGAATTGTTAAAGGTCGTCAATTTGTGAAAAAAGTGTTAAATAACTAATTTGTAGACAATTCAAAGTGAAACCTGGACCGCAGGTGATTGCCCCTTTACCTTCTGATAGAATTCAAGAGCATCCACCATTTGATATATGCGGTCTGAATATTGGCGGACCTTTTTTTTTTTATTTATTTAATTCACATATGAATATAAGTAAGTGTTATTTACTTATATTCAGCTGCGCAGCGACAAGAGGTATTCACTTAGAAGTAGTTCTTAACATAAGTGCTGGTTCTTTTTTGTTAGGATTCTCCCGATTAGTTTCTCGTCGAGGATTATGTTCCACTATATATTCTGATAACGCCAAAGCTTTTAAAAAGGCAAATTGTGAATTGAAAAAATGGTGGAATAAGATAGATAATAATCAAGTTAAAAACTTGCTTGCTTCTAAAGGTATAATTTGGAATTGTATAGTTGAAAAAGTCCATGGTGGGAAGGTTTGTGAGAAGACATATACAAACAGTTAAAACTTGCTTAAAGAAAATTGTTGGATGATCTTCTCTTTCTTTGAAAGAATTGGAAACTGTTTTTTCAGAAATTGAAGCCATGGTTAATTCCAGGCCTATCACATATCTGCACAACGAACCCTCTCCACTCACCCCATCTCATTTGTCAATGATTAGTGTCTTTACCTGTAATTAAACATAAAAATGAAGATTTAAATGTTAATAGAAATTCTACCAACAAACGCTTTTGAATCATTTTTGGAACAGGTGGAGAAAGGAGTATTTACAGATCTGAGAGAATATAAGCTGAGATCAGCTTATATTTCTCCCCAACCAAGTAAAATAGTTTCATTTAAACTGAATGATATTATTTTGATTGATGGTGAGCATTATCCCAGAAATGTGTGGATGGGAAAAATCTTAGAGCTATACCCAGGAAGACACGGAAAAATCCGTTCTTTTCTTATTCAAACTCCTAAAGGAAAAATAAAATGCTCAGTACAACCTGCGTATAATTTGGAAATTAATGTTTAATTGAAGTGTAAACCTGTTAATTTTCTATCTGTGTATTGATGATAGTTTTATTGTGTTCAAATTTAAAACTGAATAAGTTTATTCAGAAGTTAAACCATATAATCTGTTTTGTATATCAAGTGATTGTGAACAATATTGATGCTTTGTAATTGATGTAATATTCTATTTGTGTTTTCTTCATGTTATTTCAAATGGTTCCTGAATGTTAATTTTGTTACAAATCAATGGTAAGTGAACTCAACTGAGTTCAGGGAATGCTATGTATTTCCCACGCCATTCGGCTAGAGGACGCTATGACGTTCCAGTAGCCAGTGGCAGGCGGAAACGTGTTATTCCATTAGTCAGCTGCAGGCTGAATTCTAAAAATGTAGGACATGGAAGGCAGAGATGCTTAATAATGTTCAATTTCTTACATATTCTTCTAAATACATTTTATTATTATTTTTGAAAGCCTCTTTGATGCACCTTTAGACACACATTAGATGCAAAAGCATCAAAGCATGTAAAAGGTGGAATTTTAAAAACTGCCATCCGTCTTTTCTAAACAAAGGTAGATTAAATTTTTTTATGGAATCACATGGCCTGTTTATTATTATTAAAATATATAGTATTGATTTCATTCATATTGAAATTTTTTATACATTTTCTTTTCAGGTTTTTCAGGTTCTTCAAAAACATACATCAATTTTTTTTCAAATTCAACTTGGAAATTTTGATTTTGCTGCAGCCTCCTTATCTGGAAGGCTTTCTTGCTAGTCTTTTGAAGAAACATTGATGAATAATAAGTCAGGAGAAAATTATGTATAACCAAAGCTATCAGTTGTATAAATGAAATTATTAACTATAGAGTGAACTGGAACAAAAAACGAAAGAAATACAAAAAATTTACAAATCATAAATGCTTAAACAATGCTTTAATGTACATTTTTCCAATTTTACTTTATTTATAAAGAATAAGTCATTTTGCACTAAAAGGGGACTTTTTTAGAAATTATAATAAATTTTTAAACTGAAATTTCTTTGGAGCTGAGTTTTTTTTTTTTTTTTTTTTTTTTTTTTAAAGAAGAAAGATTTAGTTTTATCAGTCAGCAATGTACGCAGTCAAACTGTAATCTAAAATCACAATCTGAGGTGATGAATCGTAGTTTGAAGTTTTTATTTATTCTGTCATTTTGAACAGTAAGTATTAGATTATTTTTATTAGAAAAGAAATAACTGCATTTCTTTTTACATTTTTTAAAACTTCATAATAATAAAACTCCTTTGGAGCATCAGGTTGTAATCTGAAGTTTTTACACTATGAGATAATTTTTAATTTTTCTTAATATTCAAAACAATTCAAGTTCATATTTCGACTGGAGACAAAATATAATAACAAAAATATCTTTATAATTTTTTTTCTAAAATATCAAATTTTATTTTTTAAATTAAAAAAAAGTAAAAGAAATTTTTTTAACATAATGCATTTAAGATCTAAAAGTGTGCTCAGGATCTAATTTTAAAGCAGCAGTCACATGAAATAATGTGTATCCCCTCCCCAGGTTCTGAAGCAATTAAAAAAAATCTGAAAGGGTTTCTCAGAACAGATTACTGATAGAGACTGCCCAAGTGGTATAGCAAAACATTCAAGATGCATCTAGACCGACATATTTGATGAATTAACAGTAATATGCATTTAGACTAACATGGACTAACATATTAGATGAATATCCATTTAGACTAACATGGAGACATTATATATCGTCTTCACATTTTAAAAAAAGGGAAAAAATATTTAATGCTTTAAATTAGATATATTATGCATCTAAAATACATTTTTATTTAAATCAATCAGATTAAAAAGTAAAAAAATAATATTTTTAAGAACTGCATCTATTGCTTTAACAGACAGATTAAATAGGAAAGAATAGAATCTTAAGCATAGAAATCTTAAGTTCTTCTGAATGGGAAGAAACTCAAATGAAAAGTGAAACAACGCATAATTGTGTTTTGAGATGTCACATACATCTCCTATCTCTTTCTGATTCTGAAAAACATTATATTGCTTCCTGCAAGTACAATTCAAACATTCATTTTTTAGAAACAGGGTATTATAAAAGCTTTCAAATTTCATTGCAGAAATGATATTCAGAAAATGAAATAATGCAATTGAAGCTGAAAAGCGAAACAATATAAAATTGTGCTTTGAGACTAACGGTCCTTTTGGAACCGTTAGTCTCAAACTAAAGAACTAAGAACCCTGAAAGATTTAAAATATACCACTTTTTATCCAAAGAAAATTTAAACCATTTTATATCAAGTAGTAACTGAACAAATGAGTTATTGCAGAAAATCTTTTTTTAAAAGTTCCCTTAAAGAAGTGGCAGAATACTATACATTTTAGAACATTAGCAGATAAATGATTTTAGAAAAGATTCATAAAAGATGAACGAAAATTAGTAAATTGATGCTTTGATTCTTGCTAATAATTATTGGCAAGAATCAAAGTACACTCAGAATTGTTTGGCAATTAAAAGCATTGCTAAGAAAGTTTCAAGGACACATCTCATAAAAATCAATAACAAGAAATCTCAGAAGGGGAGAAGACGGCCAGAACGGGACAAGATTAGAATCTCATAGATAACCCATGCCATCAATCAATAATGCAAATTAAAATAATAAGAGAGCACACCACTCTTATAAAGCAAGTTGATGTAAAATAAACAATGCAGCACACAGAGCTAGTAATATAAACCTATAAAATCTACCTATAAAATCTGTTATTATATTACAGTAAATCAATCCTATCAAGAGATCAAAAATAGGCATTTTATAAAATAATGAAAGTTTGGTCTGCATACTAGGATGTCTGTCATCAAACGGATCTGGATCTTGCTTTAAAAAAGCTTCTGTTTCTGCTTCAAAAATTTCAGCTAGTCTGGATATAGAGAAACAAAATAATAATAATAATAATAATAATAAATCGACAGATAATCAATACATATAATATTTTACAGTAACAACTTGCCAAACACAGAAGTTACATCATTAATATATTGTGAGTACGGCAAAATCACAGCCTGCAAGGTTAAGTTCTTATGGAAAAAATGTGTTAGGCACAATTCAGAAAGTATATACAGTACAAAGTCCGTAATCTGGACGTCCATTATCCGGAATGATCTATAATCCGGACCTCAAAGCCACAGCCAGCTTACCAGATTTAAACTGATGATCTATAATCGGGAATCTCCAAAGTACCGACAAATCTGGATTACGGACTTTGTACTGTATAATTTTAAACAAACTTAAATATAAAATATATTAGTATTAGATTTTTCTATTTATATTACAAGAAAGTAATACTTAAACAACACATGCAAATATTTTGATGAAAAGCAGATTTTATAAAAATTATTTCTGCATGTCAGCCTTGATTGCAAATTGCACTTGGGCGTACAGTGACATTCAGTATTCCAACGCCACGGGCAGCCTACATTCTCTTGACATCAGGAATGAAGAGGTTAAGATAAAACACTACATTATAAATTAGACATTATAAATGTAAAACAATGAAAGTATAATGGATTTCAAGAAAAAAATTAAATAAAAAAATGAATAAAATTTGCCTACTGTTTTAATGTGTCTGTCACATCGGCTCCTGCACTATTCTGCGACTCCCACTGAGCAAGTAACCTCGAGACTTCTTGAACATTTTCCATCTTCCTAGAAGCTGGAATTAATTTTAGAATGATTTTCTATACATAAAGATAGTAAAAAACAAAACATGTCATCATTAAATTTTTAAAAAAAAAACAAATCTTATTAACAGAAGAGTAAAAAGTAAAATGAAATAATGCTAAATGTCAGTGACTCAAATATACGAGATGTCACAAAAAAAAAAAAAAAAAAAAAAAAAAAAAAAAAAAAAAATGAGACTAAGTGTGCAGCCTGAAAATAGAGTGAAGTTGGTAACAACTGTTTTAGTGGGCATCATGCCACACACCTTCTCTATCCATGTAGCCAGTTGAGTGAACACGTGCAACTGCATTCTTTTGGAAGAATGTCTAATATGAAAAACGAACTGTGAATCAACATCATGTTTTTTGTGAAACCTACGAAATCAGCAACGGAGGAAACATTTCAAATGTTAACCAAGGCTTATGGAGATGATACTTTGTCTCTTGCACATGTGTTTGAATGGAATAAACAGTTTTCAGGGGGAAGGGCAGTGTGGAAGACGATGAATGTACTGGGCACCCACATTCATCATGATTAAATGGGTTCCCCAGTGGTCAGACTGTTAATCAATACTACTAAACTAAAGTACTAAAAAGACTTCGTGAAAAAATTAGGGGGGGGAGGAAAAGGTCTTAGTCGTGGAGTGATGGATGGCTGTTGCAGCAGGACAATGCACCCGCTCACACAGCCCTATCTGTCATGCAGTTTCTGACCAGCAAAAACATTACTGTGATGGAGCATCCTCCTTATTCACCTGATTTGGCTTCATGCAACTTTTTTTCTACTTCCTAAAGTTAAATCTTACCTAAAGGGAACTCATTTTACCTCAGCTGAAGAGGTTCAGGCAAAAACGGAGAATCTCCTGAAGGGCCTTCCAAAAACTTCGTTCCACAACTGTTACCAGCAATGGCAACACCAAATGCAGAAGTGTGCGAATGCTGAAAGGAACTACGTTGAAAGTGACAATGTCACGGAAAACTGATTCTGTAAGTACAATGATTTACTGGACCAGTCTTTTTTGTGTGTGTGTGTGTGTGTGTGTGTGTCACACCTTGTAGAATACTGTTTCTTGATTTACTGATTTCTATAGTAGATCAAGGAACATTTTTTGGTGATCAGCGTGAAATTTGTAATGTTTGATTCACAGGGCATTAGTTGTACATCAAAGTGTTGATTGTGGTAGTCTGTTTATTTTATCTCACAAGTAGCTAAATATCATTTCAAACAAGAGGGAGAGATAAACATTGATGCAGTAATTTTCCTTTTGAAATTTTCAGACTTTTTTTTTAGCCCAAAGCTATTTAATTTTGTTTTGGCATTTCACGTTGTTTCACTATAAATGGAATTTCATTTTTCAAATTGTTGTCACCAAATATTAGAGCAGTGCATTATATTTAAAAAAAATTAAATAATAAAAAATCTTCATGAATGTATGTATGTTTCTTGCATTGTGAAAAAACAACTGTACCTAGAGACATCAAATTTTGAATACATAGTCTTCCACTCAAATATGGGCATCTGGAAGCCCAAATTTGGAATTTGTTTTATTACCCATTTCCAATTTTGTAAATCTTTAGCGAATTTTAGATTAACAAACTCGAGGATTTCAAAACTAGCAATGGCAGCACTGTACGGAGGGAAAAAAACATTTTTATCTCTAGAGCAAGACTGTAATCGGAAATTTTAAAGATATGCTCTTTTTTAATTATTTTGAGATATTGCTGTTGAATTGAATTTTATAGTTTAAGTGTGAAGAACATGATATTTAATAAATAAAGTAACACACAAAACACTGAAAAAAATGCCTTTCCTTTTTACGATAATGTTTAGCAGTATCCTACATGTTTTGTTTGTTTGTTGTTGTTGTTAGAATGCACTTAAGAGTCATTGTAGATTGCATGACTTGATAGTTACTTGCCATGCCAAACAATGGGCTACAAATAAGTGGGAAGAATGAACACTGATCCAGTAATTTTCATCCAAGACTTTTCAGTTGCTTTTTTGTTGAAAGAATCAATGTGAATTATACAATTTGACAGCTTTTCATGAAACAGAAAGGTAAACAGCAAGTAAGTGAAAAGAATATACACTGATCCAATACTTTTCCTTACAAGATCTTCAATTACTCTAATGTCACTGATACCCTGGGATCTTACATGGAATTACATGATTTCACAGCTGTTAGACATGCAAATGATGAACTAACTGTGAACAAATTTTTTCAAGATAAAAGTATCAATCATACTAAGAGACTTTGTTCTGAAAACTACAAAATGCAATTATATTCTACAAAATGAATTTATATTTTACTACCATCAAAGCACCAAAAGGACACTGACACTGAAAGACGAAAGGTTTACAAAGCTGGTTTAAAAGTCTGCGCACTTTTTCCCCTCATAGCTATTTTTTTTTTTTTTTTTTTTTTTTTTTTAATATTTACTTATTTATTTCTGCTGTCAACAGCCCATCTCCAAAAATCACAAAAACTCCCAGGTTTTAAGTTTTGTTCATACTTTTCGCTTTCTAATTTTTGCATTAAATCTGCTTGTCTGTGCATGAATAATCAACCAAATCATACTTTAGGAATTATTTTATCAGGATTTATTAATTAAAAAATTAGTATAGCTTTTAATAAAAAGGCACATACAGAGAAAGACAGTCTTGCAATTGCTTTGTGCTTTTGATAGGACTGATATCTACTCTCACAGACTAAAAGATCTCAGGCTTTTATCTTTATGAATGGAGCCTGAAGACTGAATTTCTAAGGGTGTAGAGTTTTCTGCATTCACACTTCCCCCCCCCCAAGTCCACTGACCAGTACAACTTGCTATTCTACTGCTGCTCATTCACTACTGGAATATGACAAAGATTTAAATTCAAATGGAGCCTGGCTCCAGAGTTCGAGAGAAATCACAACTCGTGCAGAAATACAGCAGAACCCACAGCTGCCACCCCTCAGTGAGTATTGCCCTGAAAATAAACAAATTTTTAAAAAAAGAAAGAAAGAAAATAAATTAACCTATTTCTCAAAATGTAATACTTTTAAAGGTAAAATCATCAACTATTTTATCAAATTATTACTATGTTTTTAGTAACTTATTAAATAATATTACTATATTATTTATAAATACTAAATATTTACTATAATCATATTTAAATGAATATGAAAAAAAAAAATAATTTATCTTTCATTGCATTTGCTAGGTATATATAATAAAATTTTGTATGACTTAATAAATATAAAACTAATGTACAATCTTAGCTGCAAAAACATAGCAATTAATTTGGTCTTTGATATCCTCAGGTGTTGCATGTGACTTTGGCACTTAAGTAACTATATTAAAGGTCACATTTACTGAGTAGCACTTCAACTGCTACAAGGGTAAATGAATGAAAGGAACTAACTCCAAGTAGTTCCAAATGACGAAGAGTGAAAAATAAGAGAGCTGTTATTACTCTCAACATAAAAGAATTTCAAGAAGAAAAATTTATTTTTGGTACTCTTTTGTTATCAGGACAGGATTTCAGAAATGTACAGATGTATGCATGTATATATGGATGGATGGATGTGTTCATGTAAGCATGCATATATGTGTATATATACAGACACATACAGGCATACACGCATATATATGGATGGATGGATGTGTTCATGTAAGCATGCATATATGTGTATATATACACAGACACATACAGGCATACACGCATATATATGGATGGATGGATGTGTTCATGTAAGCATGCATATATGTGTATATATACACAGACACATACAGGCAAACACGCATATATATATATATACAGACATGTATACATACATACACACATTTCTGAATCCGGTCCCCCCGCCACAGCAGAAGAGTACCTTATTTTTCCAGATATTCAATTCATAAAATCAGAGCTCAAAGATCTGCATTAAAACTTAATTTCCAGGTCAAAACTAGAGAGATGGCAAGCTCACTAGAGCCTGAAATAAGGTAAGTTACAGCACTTTCTTGTAAACTGAATTGTAATATTAACAGGAAAATTTATTTTTATTGAAACATTTAAATTTAGCAGTCAATAAAACAGACACTGATGTATATCTGTCACTTATATATTGAATGTATATCTGTCTGACTACTTGGGAAAAACAAAAGGTATTTACATACTATTGCGACCACCTCAATCAAAGTTTTCAAATAATCAGAATGTTCCAAACTCTGACAACAATATGCAAAAATATTCTTTCAGCAACTACGACCAAATTACAGTCACCTTTCAATCAAGCAACATCATCATTTTCGTATGTGCTTGTTTTGTTACAGGCAAAGTAGTTTTTTTTTGGGGGGGGGGCTTTAACTCAATTTTAAAATTTCCCTAGTGGAATCTGCCAGCAGTGGAAGAAAACGGGAGAAAAATTTCTGCAGAAATACAGTCCTTTTCATGACATCTCTAAAAGGACAATGATGAGATGCATTTGACAGATAGCATGTTAGCAATGCCAAAGTTGTGCACAGCAAAGATTCAGAAAAAAGTGGGGTTTTTTTTATTTATTTTTTATTTTTAATAAATCATGCAATCTTTACATAAGAATTAAAATTTGTATTTTAAGATGCTAAAGTGTGTTTCTTCTGATATGTGAATAATGCATGCCTACTTGTTAAAGTTTGAGAATCTTTTAAAAAGAATTCATAAAAATTACCAACTTGCACCCAATAAGTAATTTTTACCTTTTCATTTGTAGAAGATTGTCACATTGCACTAAGGTGGTATGTTAATATGAAAGCAACGAGCAAAATACACAGGAAAACCTAAGCAGCAGACGGTAAACTTCCATATTGAAATGTGGTCGCTTCAGAAACAGGAAGCTTTATAGGATGTATTCATCTTCTCAAAATAGTCCGAGTCAGTCTTTTACTCAAAAATGTTTTAAAAGCCAAAAAAGAAAGCAATTTTAACTGCTCATGTAGAATAGTGTTAAAAAAGTATTTACCACTTGTCTACAAAAAA